ACAGGGGGATCCCCACAACGAGGTGGGGAGCCCCCCAACCAGCCGGCCGAAAGGACCCGCAGACAGAACCCCCAGCAGCAGACCGCACACAGCCCCCAGTGTGGAGGACCCCCCTAAGGAAACATTGTGTTATTAATCTTCCTCAAAGTCAGTTTTGAACATGCATAGCTGAATAATTCAAATATTGCAGCTTTAATTTGTGTGTCGTAGGTGAGCTGGTTTGCTCGAGCTGCAGAATGAGGCGGGGAACTTCATAAAGCTGCACAAATTCAAAAGATGCAAAGGTGTAAAGTTATTTCTAAGCTATTTTAAGGCAGGAACAGGTTATTCTTCTCTGCAGCTTTTATGAGTTTTGAGGTGTTTAATCAAAGATCTGAGATTTGAGGTGATGTGGTTTAGTCCTCCTGCTTACATGAAATTATCCTTTCAATTGCAAAAGCAAAGGGGAGTAAATATTGGACTTTGATTCATCGGGTGACCCAATAATGAAGTCTCGATGAATGCTAATGTTATCAAAATGTGTAAATAGGCCACTGTTTGCTGACACATTCAGTAATAACATGTCAATACTGTATCCACAAGTTGTTTCCGTGAAATCAGCTCCCCGGCTGATCGAGCTCTAGAGTCAACATTTAAGAGCAATTTTCAGAGTGTTGAAAAAACTTTGGACATCTTCACTCTGGTCTAAATTTCATTGTGGTAGAAATCTCTAGAGCAGCGACTAAACAGACTTTGAAGAAGGACTGTTTTATTAACTGCTGTTGCCAAGGTGAAGGATGCAGCCTGCTGTCAGAGCGCTGCTACTTGAACCTGAGCTCATCAGCCCTGAAAACATTGTTCTTGTGAGCGGCCTCCTGTTTCTGCACAATTTCTGCTTTTTTTGGTCACTGGTGTATAAAATACTGCTACCAGACTAATACATCTCTAAAGGAAGTACACACAGGTCGTGAAATTCTCACTTAATTTAGACAAAATAATCAAATCTGAAATTACAACATCACCGTGTCACATTAGAGATGTAAGCGGTGAGCGGTGCCTTTCTACCGCAGCCTGCTGCCGCTGGTTAGCTTTATGAGCCCTCTGCACAAACAGGTGGTTGCCTGATTTGGTGGATGACCGAAAGCAACATCTGTTGAGGTGGAGGAAAAAAAACAAGGTGAACAAACAGCTCCGGCTCTCAGAGTGGCCAGAGCTCAGCATGCAGTCCATTAGCGGCCTTCAGCATCCCTCACCTTTCCCCTACTTTATGATCAGCCTTAAACTGACCGAAGCCTCGGCAGCGTTTAAGCTGGTCGGTCTGACAGCTGATACTGGGCGCTGTCCCACACAGATGGAACAGGAGTTATTAAAAACTAAAATTAAAAATCAAGTTTCTAAAGTGCACATACAGCCGTCCTCAAATGTATTCATACCCTCCCATTAAAAAAGGAAAAAACAGCTTCGGCACTGAAATAAGTTGAAATTGACAAAAAAAAAAAGAAAAGAAACTCATGACATTACTTTTAATTGTGGTTCAACAGAAACATAAAAAAAAGAGAGAAGCAGCAAACCAGCATGATGGGAACTAATATTTAGTTGAACAACCCTTTGAGCCAATCAGGTGTTTTCTGTAACTCTCAGTCAGACTTGTGCACCTGTTGACAGGTGTTCTGACCCACTGCTCATCAGCAAAGGGCTCTCATTTGTCTGGGACAGTTTGGTTTTTTTTAAATTATTTTTTCAACCACAATTTAAAAGCAACATCTCATTTCACTAAATTATAATTTTGCAAATTTTTATTTATCATTACTTTTTTCAGTTTCTAGTTATTTGAGTGACTGTTGTGGATTTTGCCTTTTTTTTAATGTAAGGAGATGAATACATCTGAGGATGACTGCATCCATGAAAATGAACATTTGCTTGCGACACCTGAAGAAACAAAGAGAATGCACGCACACACACACACACACACACACACACACACTTCTAAATGAGTTAGGTGACGTAATCACATTGAGTAAAAACATCTTCTACTTTTTTATTGCACAACCACGTTATATTTATTCAACTACCTCATGCTGCTTTTTAAAATCACTCGAAAGGCGACTAAACTGAATTAGTCCCAATGGTGATACCGGTATACAGCATATATACAATCAAATCATCAAATCAAGTTTATTTGTGTAGCACATGTTAAAACAACCTGAGTTCACCAAAGTAGATGTCAGAAGATAGCCAAGAATAAAACGATGTGCAAAAAGCAGGTCAGGATACAGACCTGTGAAATAAATAAAATCTAGAATACTTAAATATTAGGACTGTTAAGAGCAAACAAAAGCCACTGGAAATATAAAAGTGCTGCAGTTAAGAACATTTGATTGAAAGAGAAGATCTGGACCTGCTGCTGTAGTTCCCCATCTGCCCTCAGTCACCAGCCTCCATCATGAAAAGCACTTGTTAGGAGAGTCTAAAAAAAAAGTAACGTCGGGGCAGAGGAGTTCGGAAACGTACCCGTTTACCAGCCCAGGCATGGTTTCATAAACCAACAAATCCGCTCGTGTCCCACCCATGCATCACAGAAAGCATAACTGAGCTGCGTGAAGAGCGAAGAGAGTCATTTATTACATAACACCGAGGAGATGATGATTTAAAGAAGGGTTTTCAAGACGCTTTCACTTCCAAAGGACTCTGTCGGCAGCGTCATATGCAATTTTAAAATTCATTAAGTCTTGCTAATTGTGGAAGAAGGAACAAACATGTCTCCAATGGGAAATCATTTGAAAAAAAAATGGCTGATAAAATAGGAAGCTTGTGTTGCTGAAGGGGGACCAAAAAGAAAAAGACAGGAAAGGAAACGTCAGTACAGCAGGAAGAACAGTAAGAAGGCAAAATAACTTGAATATTAAAGATCAAACTGTGGATATTGTAGGACAAGGCTCATACAGAAAGAACAACATCATCAAAAGTCAAACCTGAAGTTGGGTTTGTGACTTTAGGAAAGTTTTTTCACACAGCTGACTGTGTGACCAGCATCTTCTTTGACCTGCCAGAGCAGAAAGTGATGCCTTCGGTGCATGAAGTGAAGCTGGCTAATCACTGGATGCTCCAAAAAGTTCAAGTCAACCAAAGTTTGGTTCACAAATTGCTCCTGTGGTATCGTTAGGTGGCCATCTCAATCAGCACAGAGCTGGTGAACTTGGAGCTTTTGCAGATAAGTCATGAAGCGAAAGTTTTTAGAAGCTTGTAAGAAACTGAGAGTCATGGTTATTTCTGGGCATAAAAGTCAGAGGATGGTCTCTACAAAGTGTCGCCTTTACTTTGAAAAACTTTTGAACAAAGTTGAATCTATATTTAGCAAACTCAACATTATGTGTTTGCGTATATTTGCACACATAGACACAAAGCACACGACCAAAGGATTGTAATGCTCTTTATTGTCATAGTTATTGTTTGACACAGCTCTCCCCTTCATTAAATAGAGTTTGGAGACATTTAACTGCACATGTGAGTTTGTCTTTAGTGATGAATTTCAGTTATGCTAAAAAATCCTCACATGGAGTCCATGTTTATGTCAGGATGTAGCAGCTGCATAAAGTTTGTCATGCAGCAGGTTGAAGCAGCAGCATCGCACAGATAAATGCTGCATATTAAGTAGGAGCAAAGAAGGAATGCAGGGAAAGAATAACAATGCGAAAAAAGTTGGAGTAGAAAGAGCAAAAGCACAGGTTACACTTCCATCAGAGGTATTGTTCAGACAATAATAATGAAGTCTGGTGTGCACAACTCATTTGATAGCATCGGTCTGGCCAGTAAAAACATCCCAACACACCTTTAGGCCTGCTGCTGTCGTCCCCGTGCGCCGCTACCTGTTCAAACAGCCTGCCAGATAACCAGCTGTGTTTGTGGCCCGGGGAGGCTGCCAGCTTCATCCAGGGTCTTTACAGAACAGCTGACAGGGACAGTGGACTCACTTTTATCGCTCTTCCCACTTTGTCACACAGACGTACACGTGCCTGCGGCTGCTTCACTCCCCGAAATTCACTAGAAAAAAAAAAGAAAAAAAGGAGCAGATAAGTCAACAGTCGAGGCAGCCTTCCTCATTTCCTGTGCTTGTGCAGCAGAGTGCGCCGTATCTTATCAATGCCACCATATACCGAGGCCCACGGGGAGTCCAATTAGCCGCTTTATTGCAAGAAAGAAATGATGGTTTGACTTCTGCAGCGGTGTGAATCACTGCCTACTCATTAGGTTTCACTTCACCTGCTCGACCTGAGGGGGAGGTCGTCCAGGCGCGGCACATGTTTTCACACGTTTGTGGTTATCGCTCCATATTCCCCGTCGCACACACAGACTGAACAAACAGAATTCAAATGTGAAAGTTGAAGCAATTTTCCGGGGAGGGAGGGAGGACGGGCAGGGCGCTCGTTTTCTCTGTGTGTCATTAGTATCTTCACACAGACCCACCTGAAGCAAGGTGAAGGAGGCGTAAAGAAAGACAAGGTGCAGCAAACCTCTGAAAGAAACGTGACGGAGACACAACTGGATTTTTGAAACTCTTTATTCCTCTCGTACAAAATGGACATCAAAGACAGAACAATACAAAATAGAAAAAAATGGCACACGGCACTCACGAGTTCAGACGTTTAAACACACTGAGAGCTTTACAATACTGCTTTGGCATTTGAAAAAACACAGAATAAAGTGCAAGATTTTCCATTCCGTTTTCTTTTTTTGTCTTTTTTTTTTTTTCATTTAAGTACATTCACAGGTTTTGTTTTAGTCTTTTTCACCAAAGTTTTCTTGTTCACAGCGTTTTTTTTTTAAAAAAAACTCTTGTCCTGACTTGTGTTGAGACAGTAAAGTGCAGATACAGTCCAGCTCCAGCATCCTGTCTGGAAAGCATTCAGTGTTCAGCTGTGAAGCGGATTGTCGATGGGGTGGTTTTTCTTTTTGCTCTGGCTTTTCTCACACACACACACGCAACACAAAGAGCTCTAGCACCTTGTTCTTTGTTTTCTTTTTCAGACCTCGCTTGGCGACCTGGACCTGTACGCCCCGTTGGCCTGAAAGCAGCCACAGAGCAGCATGTAGATGGAGCGCTGGATCTCTGTGTTTCTGTAGGCGTAGATGATCGGGTTGATCATGGAGTTGTAGGTGGCCGGCAGCAGCGTGGCGTACGTGTACACCGACGGATAGCCCCTCTCGCCCACCAGACAGTAGATGGCGAAGGGGAGCCAGCTGGCGCCAAAAGTCCCCAAGATGATGGCCAGAGTGGACACCCCTTTCTTGGTGGCGACGTAGTGCGACGTGGCGAAAAAGTGCTGCTGGAGGGCGATCTGGTGGGCGTGGTGGCACACGATCTTGCAGATCTTGAAGTAGAGGGTGAGCATGAGCACGAAGATGGCGAAGAAGGAGGTGGCCAGGAGCATGACGTTGCTCCGGGTCAGAGGTCGGACGATGCTGCAGGAGGCCGGCTCGTCCAGGCAGTTCCAGCCGAGCACCGGCAGCAGGCCCAGGAACAGAGACACCCCCCAGGTGCCGAGCAGCATCAGGTGGACGTACTGCAGCGTCTTCTCCGAGAAGTACGTCAGGGCGTTGTAGAGGGAGAAGTATCGGTCCACGGTGATGGCTAAAAGGCTGCTGATGGACGCGGTGAAGGAGGCCACCAAGAAGCCCACCGTCACCAGGCTGATAGTCTCAGAGGGGATAACGTACTGAAACACAAAGTTCAGGATTAATCCCATGCCGGCCAGCAGGTCCGCCGTGGCCAGGCTCCCGATCAGCACGAACATGGGAGTCCTCAGCGTGGGCGTGTAGAAGATGATTGCTACCACTATGGCGTTTTCACAGGCGATGACGGTGCCCGACATGCAGAGCATGATGTCCCACGGGTTGATGGCGAAGTCATAGGGGGCGGTGGAGAACTCCAGGCTGCCGTTGCGGTCCGAAGACTCAGCCTCCATCCAGGGGAGAGCTTCCCCAGCCCCGGGAGTCGCTGAGGAGTCGTTCACCACCAGCGACTCGTTCATAGCTCCGCGCTGTCGTCCCTCGGTCCTGCAGGAGAACAAAGCAGACTGTTAATGACGATGTGCTGCTTTACGTGTCTCCAGAGTTCAGCTGACCTATTGCACTAAGTCTCGCTGTGCTCACTGAGCTGAACACACAACTCCACAGACACATATTCATATAAAACTGTCATGAATGACAACTTAAATGAGCCTGAAGCAGCTTCAGGGTGGAATCAGCTACAGACAGGCTGTTAGATTAACTTCAAACTGGTTTATCATCGTCTTTACAGAATCTGCTGCACAGTTCTGTGAATTCAAGTAAAGATCCTCGACACTGAATCTGCTTCATAGTGAGGAAATGACAACTTCTCCTTCTATTTCACATATTTATAGTATTTCTATTGTGACTTACAGTCCCTTGATTGCTCCTGCTTCTCTTTGGTAACACAAACTGCCTACTGACTGGCAGCATTTAATCTGTGTAGGGGTTCACTGTTATGCACTAAGACACCACGTCCAGTTCTTTGTATGAGAGAACTGACTTTGCAAACAAAACCGATTCTGATATCAAAGCCATGCATTCTAAAAAAGCTCAACAGATGTTCCTGCAGACAGACACAGCTATCTGCTAGACTTTACTGTCCAGAAAATTATCAGAAACTCTGTTTTTTTTTCTGTCCTTGTAAAAGTTGCTGAGCAGCGCTGGAGCTGTCCGAGGTGCTGAACTCACAGCAGAACCACACATGGACCATCTGAGCATCACTCACACAACCTGCTGCTCTAATGTAGAGAATAAATGGTTTTTTTAAAGACTAATATGTGCCTGAGAAGGACAGATTTATTCATATTCTGCATCCAGGAGAGGGAAGAGTTCACTCCTACAGTCCAAACTATTTTGCAGCGTGAAAAGTGAAATAAAGCTCATGCAGCCGACTCAGGTCTTTCTCATCATGTTGCAAAGTGAAGGACACCTACCTCCGTGACAAGCCGCTCTGAGCTGAGTATGGTCGCTGAAATCAGAGCCCCTCGTCCGAAGGGTGCAAATAAAGAAGATAAAGACGATTTTCCCCTTTTTCTCTTCTCTTTGTTCTTCTCTCCTCGCGTCTGTGGAGCCTCTCAGGTGAAGCCCTTGATTCTGCTGATGTGCTTGCCACGCATGGGGCAGACACGGAGGGCAGCAGCGGAGTGAAGCATTGGCCGGTGCGCGGCTCGGTGAGGAAGAGGAGGAGGAAGAGGAGGAGGAGGAGGACTGGAGGGGGACGAGCAGAGCCGCGCGAGGAGAGATTTTAAACCCGAGTGACGTCACGGGGGAGCGAGCGAGGGAGAGAGAGATTTAAAGGTGGTGCCTCCCTCTCCTCACGGCATCCTCCTCCTTCTCTCCCGGAGCATCACTTCAGATTTCAGCCTTGAAGAACCGAATCCCAGCACATCCCAGGTTTTAAAGGCTGAACTGTCTGGAGAGGAGGTGAGAAACCAGCAGGCTGACTGTTAACTTAGAGCATCTCAACATCAACATGGTGAAAACTCAGAACACACAAGTCCTGAACATGTACAGCTCCTGGCAAAAATGATGGAATCACCAGT